TGTAAGTGTGAAGAAATATTTTTTCTTGTTCACACAACATATACTTATTTGTGCGTTTTGAAGTGCGTGGAACAACATATCAAAAGATGGCGACAACTTTTTGGGGGTTGCTTAGGTGAGAGATCGGCCGGAACTTATGCGCTGTATCGCTCTTTTAGCGACTGCACACCTCTCTCCCGGTTCGGCGGTGGCGCCAAACGTCCGGGTGCTGAAATTTAAGGAGAATGTGCTTCAAAGAGGAGCAGGCTTTAAAAATAAAAAATTAAAATGGGGGAGTACTTTCCCCATCCCACCGCAGTAGTTAGCGAACTGTGGTCACTTGTTCCGAACAACCGCTTCCAACCGCAGTGGTCAGAACATACTCCCGGGGTTTGTGAGACGGTTGACGCGTACGTTGGATAAACTGTACTGACCCACCACAGGTCATGGAGCCCTTTTCAGCCAGTTTCTAGGTCTTATTATCCACCCCGCTACCACAGCAAGGTGGCAGGCACCAGTGATCGAACCCCGGCCCAGAGCCGGCATATATGACACCTACGACGCGTGCCACCAACAATGGTAACCACTACGCCGTCGGAACTCCACGAGAGGAGCGTGATGAAATGACGGGTTTGAAGTCCATTTGAAATTTGGTGGCCTGAGAAAAAATTAATATCGACGGAGATTCGAACCGCCGACCTCCCGAGCGGGCGAGCTATCGCCGACGAAGCGTGGCTGGTGAAACGACGGTTTTAATTTCCCCTCGAAAGCTTAATTCGGAGAAAAAAAAATCAAGATGTTTTCCTCCGATAAAATTATTAGCTCGGCTATCTCCGCTTCCCGAATTTCCAGAAACTCAGTCCATCCCCTGCACAACAGCCAACCGCTACGGCTTCTAGATCCTCTGAATAACGTCAGAGGTTCCGTGCGGGGGAAACTGGTTACGCACCGGTCGGGTTTCGAATCCGAGCCGGACCCGGCTTACTATCCAGCCACCACGCTCGGAGACCACTGAGCTACCACGACAAGTGATAGCTGCGCTGCTCACCATGGAACCGATTCCGGTGAAGGGACGAGAGAAACAAAATTTTAAAGTTACAATTAGCTCCCAAAGGTGCTTCGAGTCCCGGCCGCGGCACGGGTTATTTTTTGTTCATACCAGTGCGCGCCACTTTGGGCCACAGCAACTAAGTCCCGTCCGACCTAGAAACTGGCTGAAAAGGGCTCCATGACCTGTGGTGGGTCAGTATACAGTTTAACCAACGTACGCGTCAACCGTCTCACAAACCCCGGGAGTATGTTCTGACCATCACTGCGGTTGGAAGCTGCTGTTCGGAACAGTGACCACAGCTCTGCCCGTAAGGCACCATAGCCCCTTGGGTAGGCAAACCCGCCCACGCCTGCGTCTTCTCACCTGGCACATGTCTCACCTGTGCTTTGCGTCGCTCGCCCTCCACTTCACACTGGGCCTGTCCCGGCCGGCGGCCGCTGATTGCCGCCCGAAGCGTGCTGATTACCACTTACTTGGACACTCGAGCACACTCGGTACGTGGAACCACTTGACATCCCGCCGAGTCCCGCACATAAAAGTCGCCCCCCGCACAGCGGCCGGTCAGACTCAGACGGTCGTCGTCTCCTCTTCGAAAACGGCTTCTTCTCTTCGCTCTCCGCAACGCGACGCCGCCGCCATGGCACCGCACCAGATGCACTCCGCCGTCGTCTCCTCCGACCGGTACTATCTGCGCGCCATCCTACCCGAGGACACGGAGGAGGTGTTCGACTTCCTCGTCAAGTACTACTACCCGCACGAGCCCATCAACCAGAGTGTCAACCGCATACCCGTCAATATCTACCAGGTACACGCTGACACAGACACATGTAGAAATCAATTTCCGAAAATTCAAGTTTTGTCACTTTATTGAAGTTTTTCTATTAGATTTGTCAATGTTTGCACTGAAATATTTCCGTCTCAACACCTGTACTAAGAGGCACGCTAATTTACAGTGCAGCCACGGCGAGACCATCAAGGAGGGCTTCTCGCTCATGGCCGTGGACAAGGACTCTGGCAAGCTCATCGGCGTCTCCATCCAAGGGCTAGCGCGACCCGGCGAGGACGAAGACATCCTCCTGCGCGCGCAGGCGGTGGCACACTTCGGCGCCGTGAAGGTGGCTAAGGTGAGTGAGTTCTACAAAAGGCCTGGACCGATACCGCGACACCTTGTGACATAATTTTACCTCCACTGAAGTATGACTTTGTGTAGCAAGTGCATGCGCGTTCTCTTTTCCTTGCCTTGGTAAAATTGTACTAAAATTACGAAACTAGTCTTTGTGTTTTGTCGTGTGAATGTAAACAACAGCCACACTTTAGAGGAGGTCAATGGCATGAGGTTTTGTGGATCGACTTTTGATGGCCTCGTACGACTTTAAAAAACGTCAGTGACAGTGTGGACGCAACAGACGCTCGCGATACTTTACGGCCCACATGATTGCATGCATTTTCGGAAATTGCTTCTTAATTTACCTCCGAACTACTCTGGAAGTGTCGGACCTCCGCGTCTGTGGTTGCCGCGCACAGGGCGCTGACCTGACCGTTTCTCTCTTTCTCCACCTGCAGTCGTTCGAGATCCTGGCCGTGCTGGAGCGACAGGCCGACATGTGGTCGAGGCTCGGCGTGGACCGGTCGCTGCGCGTGCTGGCCACGGCCGTGCACGCGGACTACCAGGGCCTCGGCCTGGGCGGCGCCTTCGTGGTGGCCTCGGCCCGGCTGGCGCAGAAGCACATGATCCCCTCGCTGTCCATCATCACGAGCAGCTTCTACTTCGCCAACGCGTGCAAGCGCCTAGGGGGCGAGCTGATCCACAGCGTGCGGTACGCCGACTTCACCGACGACCAGGGCGTCCCGCACCTGCCCGTCGCTGCCCCGCACGTCGCCGTCACCATGTGGTCCTTCGACCCGGCCGACCTGGCGGGCAGGGACTCGGCGGCGCGCGCGCCACGAAGGAGGTCCGCCGCGGCCGTCTAGCCCGCCCGCCCGAAACTGACTTGTATGACACTCATGTGATAAAGGACCGCAGCACTGCTCGCGTCAGAACAAAACGAATCTCGCTGTTACTTTAATTATTTTATTTTATTTGGTAAATTGGTTCTTTAATTTTGTGTTATGTTATGACATATACTTCTTGCCGGAGAGTATTGCGCGCGAACTCGTGGGATATGCGTGCGACCAAATAAAGGGGTGGACTGCACCCCTAGTTTTTGTACTTTCCTGATGATCTTTTGCTTCCCCATTGTCCTACCGCGGGTGGTTATTGACCGCTGTCCGAAAGATTGACATGGTCACGGTCACGGTGCGCTGGAACCTTCGAAAATGTGAAGTGAGCAGCCATCGTACACCTGAAACCTGAAATAAAGTAATTCGACTCAAAGTTTGTGCGGAGAGCTCGCGGACGGCCCCGGACACAACACTGACGCTGTCCTGGGCCTGGAGCTGGGCGAGGCCCTCGTGGATATCCACCATGCTGGCGCACCTAGGGGCAGGAGGAGGCTATGGGGTAAGATAGCGTCTGGAGGAGCGGAGAGGCAGAGAAGGGAGCGCCTCGCACCCAGTGTCCGCTCCCTCCCCGCTCCCCCCTTGCCTGCCGTGAGAGCGGGCGTAAGCGCGGAGCTCCTTTTCTTAACTGAATATAAAGCTGGTCCCACAAAAGCTCCCGTCAGCTCCGGTCAGTTCACTTCAGTTTAGTACACGTCACTTCTGCCGCGGTATTTACGCAGGGGGATGGGTAGAGTTAATACTTTTTCAGTCGTCTGATTTTATTTTTGATGTTATTTTTGAAAAAAATTGGCGTTGGACATTTTCAGTAACGACAGCAATGTTGGCTGGCTACACTGCTGCGATAATAACATAAAAAGCTAGCGCACCCAGAAACCTGCGTTTGAACGACTCAAACTAGGTCCATAGGCAAATTTGTTAAAATCTTCAATTTCTCGAAAACTATTTATCCCTCAGCGAGGGGAGTGGAACAGGTCAAAAAAGTGTACACATGATTGTGTCTAGACAATGATTGTTTCAGATTGTGTGTGATTGTTTATGATAGTGTCGATGATTGTCTCTGATTGTTTCAGATTATTGGGTCAATATTAGGACATATGTTTAAAAATTGTGTCATGATTGTTTGTGATTGTGTGTGATTGTGTCTGATTGTGTGAATTGTGGGTGATTGTTTCAGATTTTTTCAGATTGTGTGTGATTGTTTCTGATTGTTTCAGATGGTTGGATAAATATTGTGACATATTTTACAACATTGTGTCAGATTATGACCTGATTGTGTGTGATTGTTTCGTGATTGTGTGTGATTGTTTCGTGATTGTGTGTTATTGTTTCGTGATTGTGTGTGATTGTTTCGGATTGTGTGTGATTGTTTACGATTCTGTGTGATTGTGTGTGATTGTTTCATGATTGTTTCTGATTGTTTTTGACGACGTACACATATTGTGTCAAGTTCCACACCCCTCGTCCCTTAGCGTACTGGCTTTTCAGGGCGGTTTATATTCAGAGGCCGAACATTCCCTGATAGTTTCAATCCCCTGGGGTAAAAAATTAAAAGATAAAAACTACCCCCCAAAGTCAAGGGTCGAACCAGCGATATGGAGCCGTGCTGGACAGTAACCCAGCACCAAACAACATGAGCCACCAGAACACAATCCAGACCCGCTCTCAGACAACGGTACAAGAGTCACAGGTTCGACTCTTGACTTTTGGGGTATTTTTTTATTTCTTTACCAGACCCCGTTTGAAGGGTCTGGAAAGCCATGCGTCATATATCGGTGTCAGATGGCAGTTCTGGTGTGTGGTCTGGTGGCTCAGGAAGTTGCGTGCTGGATCGCTGCTCTATTCGGCTCTCCGTGTCGTAGGTTCGAGTCTTGACTTTTGGGGATATTTTTTATTTTTTTATTTTTTACCTCAGGGGATAGGAACTATCAGGGAATGTT